GGAACGGCTTGAGAGTGGGGACCACGGTCGGGGACTCGACCAGTCCAGAAAGGGATGGGAGGTTTGACCAAGTGGCTCCTGTCGAGATCTGCCAGTTCCAGATCGCGTCGTGCCCGTGCAGGCCCGGGGAGTAAGATGTCACCTGTGATGAATGTGCGATAAGTACATTTGAGTATCATTTATTGCAGGCTAAATTGAAAATTTCGTCCCATTGGATTATGAATGTAGCAATTTAAGTCCCAGTAGAGAGACATACAGCATTTTAAGTTTTGTAATTTAAAATTTTGCTGCAATTTCAGTCGTTTGGCCGTCAAATTCCCAATTTTAGATATTTGGGATGGATATTGATTAGCTATTTAAATTTTGTAATTTAAAATTTTGTTGCAATTTCAGTGCTTTTGACCGTCAAAATTAGAAATTTTTAAATTGCAGCAAAATATTAAATTACATATTAATTTACCCACTTAAATTGCTATATATCACAACAAAATATTAAATTACATATTAATTTACCCACTTAAATTGCTATATATCACTGCAGTGAGACCTAAATTGCTACCTTCGACAAAATTGCATTTTAGCCCTCATTGCATACTGATTGATTTTGTTTGGATTTTTGGCTTGGTATGATTAATATTGAAAAAAGTAATATGGTTAGTTGTTAGTGGGATTTTGAGTTTATATTAAAATAATATTTAAAATAAAATAACTAAGGTTGCTTTGATTTAAAAGTATGAGAGAAATTACGTGAAGATGGTTAGTTAAAATTATGTGATTAGATGAATAATGATATAAAGTTGATGTAATGTGTAAGAATGATTGAGTGGTATTATTTAATTATATTCATAATATGGGTTGGGTTAAAGTTGAGTTAGATTTGAGTTACAAAAAAAAAGTGATAAGTTAAAAATGATTGAATATTTTTGGAAAAATTTGTATCCAAGCATGCACTAAAACCCTTGTCAAGGGTTTTGATTGCTCGCTGTTTGTGTTGACATGGCAAGATAAGGTGATGGCATGGTGTGATAAATATGTAATATACTTAAATATCAATGTATATTTCTAGTTACGTTATATTTATCATTTATATGAAGTAGTTTCAGGAATTACTTTTACCTCGCCTCGATTTGTCAGGAAGACAACGTCGCCGCGGCTTCCTTTACGATGCCTGTGGCCATCTTTTCTCGGGATCAGAATGGGTGTAGCAACCTCCAACGAACTCGTGTCCACATGCCTGCCAAAGCTTCTGGAGAAGTCCCCGTGTTGAAATAAATTAAAAGGAGAGTGGTGGCATATGGAAGCATTAAAGAGTTGTTCCCGTACGGGCACACCAGATGTGGCGACGGCCCAACAAGGACGAAGCACCTCCATTGACCCACTCACAACGGTCTGTTCGGCACCATTTGCTCCAACAACCTTTACAAGGAATATAACATTATGGCATTTTAAAAAGGTTTCATTTCAAGTCAATATCTTAAAATTTTCTAATAATTGGTATATAAGGAAAGAGTTGGCTTAAGTGCCAAGATGAGAACACCTGAACATGATCCAGGACGCCATCTCCATTAATATCAGCATGAAGGCCACCTTCTTGAAGATGTAGCTGGATGGATAAAGCACGTAACATAGAATGTCATTTAGATTTTAGCAAAAGTGCAAAAACACACCAAGTCAAAAGGTATCGTAGAAAGTGGTTAATTGTAGTCATGAACTGCGATCCAGTTCACAAATTCCCGATGGGGATTTCATTCTGACAAGAGTATAGCCATGAACCAGCATATAGTGTGGGGCACCATAGCAAGAATTAGATCCTTCAGAAAGCAGATTTGATATTTAAACAAACACGCTGGTTAACTATCATAGACCTCCAAGAACGCTAATTCAGCTTCACAGCCAAGAAGATAAAGAAGTTTATAAGTTGGAAAAATGAAGGGAAAGAATATCTTGTGCATAAAATATCTATTATCAATAGCTTGTGCACTTATATCTTCTACTCCTGATGATAAAGTAACTTAAGAATCATGATATTTATCTCGGATTTTCACCTTACATAATGTGCGTCCAGTTGCCAAATGAATGGCTTCAAGACCTTCCTTTTCATGAGCAACGACAACGTTCGGTACCCACCAGAGCTGCGTGTAATTTGTTATGGTAGGTATATACTGTGTGTGCTGCATAATAAAGTTACCAAAGCAACTGGTAAGTGTTGGAAAGCTATAAGAGAGTTGAATCAAATGATTACATTAAGCTCATTAACAGCAGATATAAGTCAGATTTCATAAATAACCCCAATATTTGAGCAATCAAACCCACCAGTTTGTAGGCAGTAGTAATTAATCAATTTACATATCCTCCATAAGTTACTGAAAAGTAGCTTTTGATTCAAAATGTTCAATCTATTTCCAAATTCAGCAAGACTATGTTTCGTTTAAACAAAGTTCCATACAGACTACAGAGGATTATCAGCTCCAATGAAGCAACAACATAATTCGCTAATGATAATATAGGTTGCCATGGCGAAACAGAGCAAAAAGTAATTTTCTTATGCTCGAAACATTAATGAACCTACTCGCAGCTAACAAATTAGAAGAATATATATTCCGAACATGTGTCTGAATATTTTTGTCGATGAATAATATAAAACATTTTCTGGACCAACTACTTTGAAAAACATTGAGATCTTACTTGTTTTTTCGTTGCTGATTTAGCAATATTAACTGCCTTGTCAATCACATTGGAAACTTTTTTCGTCACATCCTTTCCAGGAGATTGCTTTTCTTGCGGTTTGTGTAACTGGTAGTTGGTGTTCTTGCCAGGTACTTTCTTGAGTATTTTCCTTTTATGACGCTTGAAATGTGCCAGCTCCAGCACAGTATCTTCTCTACGATCCTGATATGTAGATCAAAATCGGGCCTTAAATCAACTATATCCGAAATGCACCCATGTAGGTGAGAGAATTATAAACCATACTTACCCAATGATGAGGCATGACTCCAAGAATGGATTCTCTAAAGTCCCTGCACTCGAACTACAGCAGAGAAAATTTAAATGAACTCTTTATGCTATATGAAGAATAGCGTACATGTACACACTTTTACATCACTGATGAGGCCCTACAATCAGAATAGCTCCAAATGCAGAAAGAAACTTCAATTGGTCACTCGCTTAATTATTTGAGGGCAACAAAAGAGATAAATCAGGAACACCTCAATGGGTGCTCACACCACATTGTAATAGCTTTTGATCAAGTAAGAGAACTTGTGGAGTGAATTTTTGTAGCACTTGCACTCAACTTCTCTATAAACCTCACAACCAAATTTACACCATATAAAACCCAAGTCATCTTTTTCTTGCAGTCATGTCTGGCCCATGTTTGAATAACTCTCATAGCTAGCAGTCAATATCAAAAGTAAAATTCAAGTCAAGATCACAGGCCACTCGAGTCTAGATGGAGTCTGTCCTCCAACCCTAAACCGTAAGTTGTTTTGATCTATAAACAATGTAATAAGTTGACCAAAACCGATGTTGGGCATCAACTGTCACAAACTTTACAAAATTGAATTTAGGTGAATTACATCAGTTACTACTTTATTGTACAATCCATCTATAAACAATGTGATAAGTTGGAGTCTGTCCTCCAACCCTAAACCGTAAGTTGTTTTGATCTATAAACAATGTAATAAGTTGACCAAAACCGATGTTGGGCATCAACTATCACAAACTTTACAAAATTGAATTTAGGTGAATTACATCAGTTACTACTTTATTGTACAATCCATCTCATTTTCTCAGTGCAGCTAGCAAAGTATATCTTTGTGTTCATTCATCAGAAGACATATTGCCAAGCATATTAGCCTCAAAGAAACATCACAATAAATCTTTGGCTATCTCATACAGCATACCTCTCCTGGATGGCGTGTGTTTAATGCATGAGCATCAAGCTTGTAATTGTGCTGCGGAATCAACTGTGATGCATCAGATGATTGAGCTTCAATGTTCTGCAAGATTGGAGACTCAGAGTCAGGCCAATGTATGCACATTGAGAAAAGGATAAAGCTAGAGTTAAATGAAAATTCTAATTATCATCTAACATCTAGATAGACACTGAATGATGTAAAAGTTTCGGTCAAAATTCACATCCATAGCAGAAGGTTAACAGACACATAATCATGAAACAGGTACCAATACGTAGAAGTCCGATAAAATTATGTCAGGGCACAACCTTCGGAACACACTCCTTTATGCCAGATCTAAAATTTGTATATCTTGTATATTGAATACATTACAAATGAACCTGAACATAAATCGTAATATTCTAGACCAAGCATCTAAAAAAACTTTTAATTAACTTAACACACACTTAATGGCTAATGCTGACAATGCTATCTGTGTAGTGAGAACAAGACTAGCACATCTCATTTTTAGCAATGTCGTGATTTTAGTCCAACGTGGTTTTCTCGAGATAATTGACAAATCAAGTCTAAGAACCGCAACAGTTATCTGAAATGTTAGCTACAATTATCATTAAATGAAAATGATGCTAGAAAAGTATTTTCAAATCTTATATGGAAGATAAAAATTCTCTAGGTCAGACAAAAACAAAAAAATTAAACTGATCAACCCGATTTACACAAGCAGATAGTAGTTAACGTTCTTGTCTAGCAATTGACACGTAATGCAACACAAAAGAATCTCATACAACAACAACAACAACATACCCAGTATATTCAACAACAAAAGAATCACATCATTTAAATATTTGAAAGGGAGAAAGGAAATTCTCTAAAAAATGATACATGACCTCATTCTTTCTGCTCCACCGTAGCTCACCACTTCTACCAGCAAATGCATAAAAAGCAAAGTGTCTTAAATCTACAGTTCCTGCATTGTCAGATGCCTAGGAGGCAGACAAGTAACATTAATCCATATTCCATGACATAACATGTATAGCAAATTGCTACGCACACTAAGAACCACATGAGAGAAACAGCATATTGGACATAACAAAAATACACCAAAATAAAACAACCAACATTCCTCAGGAATAAACCATATTTCCCTCATTACATGAGTAAGAAGCTTTATTTCCTATACCCTGCTACATCTGAGCTACAGTCCTTCCACAAGTCCAAAACCAACTCAACCAATATGACCAAAATTTTGAAGTGAGATGTCACGCTTGCCATCGATTTTTTTTTTCTTTTTTTACTACTAATAGAAAAGGAAAAGCAAGAAAGGCAGTGGTCTTGAAAGTCCCAGAACTTCTTTTGCAGCTTGCAGCTGATGATAATTTAGAAGGACCACAGAAACCTTCTCAAAAATGGATAAAATTAACATTATGAAAATATGAAGTCTTAGATAAGATAACCAAATTATAAAGACACTTGACTGATTACACAATCATGTGAAATCAGAAAGATGACAACTGTCTTACATCCTTTTCAGTGGCGCTACGTCTATGCTCCTCGGCATTCTTATCAGCCATTTCAATCTCCTCAAATGGATCCAGATGCATCTAGGGAAAAATAAAAAATAAAAAATAAAAATTGTTATAATCAGCCTGAGCCCCAAAGGGACAAAAATCCGAAATCAGATATTTGTTGAGGCAGGTGAAAAGATACACCTCGGGAAAGTACACATGCACACCAAGAAGCTATTTCTACAAAAAGAGAAATAGATATAGTTTCTTTCATTTATTTAAAAAAGAACAGATGATGGACCACCAACTCATCATCTTCAGTAAAGAAGTCCACAACAAATAAAACCTGGAAAAATATCAATATTTACATAAACGAAGTTAAAAAAACATTCCACTTTGATTTTCGACATGATAATAAATGACAAATGTAAGAGCTCACTCCATCTTCAAGTAAATCATCGATCTCCATAAACATCGCAAAAGATATAACAATAGTCCAAATGTTTTTTCAGTATGTCAGGAAACTTATATACTTAAAACCTGTATCTATCAAAGCTGAAGTTCCACATTTCCACTTCATATCCTAGAGAATCCTCTTGGATAACGTATTAATATTGTACATACAGCAGTAAGGCCACATCTTGGAGCTTATATTGACGAGGAAAACATCACAAATCCTAAAATTCATAGCCCCACAAGTCACTCTCAACATTAAGCATGCTTGCAGGAACCATACGATCAAGTACAAGTAAAATTATATGAAATATGCAAAGGATAGTCATGAAACATGGAAAATAGGAGATAGTGTAGTGCGCAGAAAATTATTTGTCTCTTTTTTTTATTATACAAGTTGATGAGACAAAAAGAAAGATTTCTGCAATTTACTTAAAATCTGAATTATATATTTGAACTTATAAGCAAATTGATATCTTTTGCTGAACCAATGGCTTCAAGCCATATGCAGCCATAGAGGATTTGATGGCTATGTGCATTTATAATTCTGTTGATGCATTTATGACATTGTCACCATGGGAAATCATATCATAAGAAAACCCTCCTAAATATTCTGGTAGGTCAAAAACAATTCAAACTGGATGACATATAAAATAGGTATGCTTTTTTATTAAGTACACTAGATGGTACAAGTAACATACATGAGGCTGCATCTCCATTCTTCCGCCAATGATAATCAATCCCGAATCTCCATGCCTCAATGTATAATTACTAATAGAGATGGCAATCTCCCTGTGATGAGCATTATGCGGAAAATCTTTCTGGCAAACAGCACAAATAATTAATAGTTGAAAAGAGCAGAAATAACCTATAATAAATATATTTATCTATAAGCATGGCACAACAAAGTCTCCATGCACACCTGCAGATTCACATCCCACAACTTCTTCAGGTTGTGATCGAAGCACATCACAGACCAGCCAGATGTCACAACTACCAAAACCTGCTTCCTCGGCTCCCTTTTATTATAATTCCTTTCAATAACTCCAGTAGCCATTGCCACAGCACGCCTCCCTGTAGCTATGCGGAGTTTGTCAGGCAAAAGGGATACCTCTGCCAACACACGTGCTTCACTAAATCCTTCATCCACACGCCTCGCGTGAGGTTCCAGAACCTGATAGCAAACGCAACTTATTATCAGATTATGAGAGATTATTTTCAAAGCTTCTGTTGCAGGATGGAAGCATTGAAAACCAATAAACAGACTAAAGCCAGCCAGACTTAGCAATTGGAAAGAACTTTTAAACACATGAAGAACGGCTGTAACAATTGCAAGCTCCATCGAGTTTCCTCTCAGAGCCAACAGCTTTTAGGGCATTGATATTGATTAATAACCTCATCATAGTCTGGAAAATATTTATCTTTGGAGAATTTGAGGCATATCAAATTCCCGGTAATAGATTGATATGAACAAACTGAAAATGTACGCCATTATGATACTTCCCTTTATCTCCAATTGGGCTGAACTCTTAAACAGTTAAACCAGCATATATACCCCTTATCACCCTTAGCAGAACTAGCTTTTGCTAAAAGGAAGGATATCCGATATCCAATTATCAATCTTCCACGGAAACATCCTAGCACTTCAAAACATTGAAGTAAAACTCAAAATGCCCCACTCCTGAAATTTGAGCATGAACAGCTACTCTCCTCAATTATCACTAATCCGATTACCAGTTTATTGTCCGATAAGAATCACAGAGAGCACAAAGGGTACTTCTACAACTTCAAAAACAGTACAAAGCAATACCTGGATTTTCGCATCGTGCGTAGCCACGAGAACCTCCTTTTTCCCATCGCCATTCAGATCGGCAACAACTGGAGGAGGGAGTCGATCAGCTTCGTACTTAATTGGGTAGTCATCTGAGAGATGGAACCAAGCCTCTTTGAACGAGAAATCACCCTCGTGCTACACGATGTTCATAAAAGTTAATCAACACGAAAATGGCAAACCGGCCAACATCGCTAAAATTGGGCAAAGGAACAAAAAGGAGGAAAACTCGTGCTAGGGTTTATGAAGGGTTTTTCACGATCTCGAGCACAAACCTGAAGAGAGAAAAAAATGGCGAAAGCCGACAGCGAGAGAATTGCCAAATCTCGCTTCCTCATCCTCACGTCCTCCGTTCTCCTAAAGGTTTTATCGGTTATAAGCAGCAGACAATTCGTGCTAAATGCTTAAATGATGATTCAATTGCAAAGCAAATAGCTTTCTATCTTCATCATATTGTTCTTGAGCTCGGCTTGCAGAATTTCAGTCTCTGAGTGAGAGAGAGAGCTTGAGGAGGAACGAGGTTCTTCGACTTTAATGGAGAGTCAACCCGTCCGTTTCCAGTCGGTTTCCAACCCGCTTCTGATCCATTCGACCCGACCCGACCCGACCGAACCCGACATCCTACTCATTGAATTTCCTATTAGATACCTGGGATCTACAACAAAATGATATTTGTTATGAAATACGATGAAAATAAAGAACACAATGTAAAAACCGGATATAAATCAAAAGATGCTATTTCTCTTTCTCTTTTCGTCACTTCATCCGTGTATCTAAAATGAACTACATATGTTGCCATTTTATAGACAAATTTTGGCACACATACCAATACACATACTAATATAATAATAGTGGTAAATTCCACTTATTTGCAATACTCCCCCTTGGAATTACCACTATTAAATGTGCGTTTATGCTGCCTCGTTAAAAATCTTATCTGGAAAAACCCTGTGGGAAAAAAACCGAGACAAGGAAAAAAG